TATGAAATTAGGGTTATAAATGAACATGAAAATAGATACTCTGTCACTGTAACATCTTCCTTACCCATCTTTTTAGATATTACCAGTCAGCTACCTCGTTCTCTTATTTTTACTTTATTAATTGTTACTATGTGGGCATATTTCTTGTATATGTGATTAATTGTGCTAAGTAATCATTTTCATATATTAATAATAAGTTACTCATATTAACACAAAGTAGTATCTAGTTTAGATGCTACTAGCTTAGGTTGACCTGTTAGGTAGAAACAAAGCCTCCATTTATCACACAAACTCATACAGAACATAAAATAGCCTCTATTTTTTTCATGTGAAGAACTTTTATACAATAAATTAAGCACATTGATGATTAGCACAGAAGAGTACAGTAAACCATCTTCTGTTGATATCTAGGTGACTATTTCTTTAGTGCTCCCAAAGAATAAATAGAGATAGTAAAGGAACCCAGGCTGGCGGTTCAAACCCACCAGCCACTCCTCGGAAGGAAGGTTGGGCAATCCTACTTCCGTAGTGATACTGCCTCGGAAACCCAAGGAGGGGTCGCTATGAGTCGGGGCCGACTCGACAGCACATAACAACAACAACAACAACAAAGGAACCCAACCTAAAAGCATAGTTTATCGGAAGAACTAGAGAATCTGACTTACTGCACACTGTCGTATGTACAGTGACAACATACTTCAAGTATTTAATCTACCAAAAAGACTACTGTAGTATCAGAGAAGCTTAATTATCTAATTATATGTCATTCACTATATTCTGACAATTTATAGTGACTTTCTGTTTAAGTTTTAAACCAGTGAAAGAATCTCAGTTATATTAACCTATTCAGCTTATATCAAAAGCAATGTCAGAGTTCCTGTTAGTAGCTTTCTAGTCATTACTTGCAAGATGATGACAGTGCAAAAAGGAGGTTGGGAGTCTGTTCCACAAAGCGTTTTATTTTTCTCCCTTTCTTTTCATGGCCCCTTTCCCACACCACGCATACAGAACATATACAAATCACAAACACAAACATGCTCTCCACAGGAAAAATTAAAATAACAACGTTTATGTCAGAAAACTCAGTCAAGAGATTTTTAAATCTAAAAGAACCTGTAGGAAAATTCAAGAATAATCATGAAGATCTATTTAAAACTTTAAAAGCAGCAGAAAATAATGACTAAAGCTACCTTTGCTAAGGATGTCTTTTGGCTTCTGAAATGACAGATGTTGTTTTGCAGACACCCTGATTCTCTGATGTCCAGAGTCTGCCCAACCATACTCTCACTCTGCTCATATGGTACAGCCCCTCATGACCTGTGATAAATCTTTAAGACTATGTCACCTTAAGTTGGCTGGCTGGCACATGCACAACAAAAAGAGGAAAATTAACTAAGATCTGTCACCTTTCCGATTCCTCTACTCCCCAGGGACTCTTTTGTCTCTGACTCCTTGTAACACAAGTGCTTTCTGCCCAAAACACATAAACTCTTTAAAATTTAAACACTCACCCACACTGTGTTGGTACCCCATGCAATGTTTAGCCCAAAATTTTATCTGTGAAATAAGAACAGTATTCAGGGATCTGGAGACTACCCTGAAAGTTAGTCTGGAGAAGACAGCTTATATATGTGACAGCTTGAGATAATTATAACTTGCCACACCTTTCCTTGGGTGGTGTGGACATGGTCTGTTGAACATTCCTACACTAACTCTAGGATGGAAAAGAGGTGCAAACATACTGATTTTATATTTTCAGCCTTTCATTTTGACTAGCAGTACAACTAAAATCAGGGGTCTTGGTGGCACAAATGGTTAAGTGCTTAGATGCTAACTGAAAGGTTGGGGGTTTGAACTCACCCAGCGTCTCCACAGAAGAAAGACCTGGTGATCTGTTCCTATAAAAATTACCTCCTAAAAAACTTTTTGGGGAAGTTGTACTCTGTCACATGAGGTTGTTCTGAGTTGGAATCCACTTGATGGAACCCAACAACAACGACATAACTAAATTCCATATGCACAACACTTCAACATATTTTGAAACATTGAAAATTGTTAAAATATGGAGAAAGAAAAACATTAAAGCACTCAAAACTTTTCTGCAAGACAGTATATAGACAAGAGGTACCTACTTTGCTCTCAACAGATCCTGATCTTTCAAAGCTGAACCTTGAAGGTAGATAACTCTTTGAGACCACATTGGGATTTGCAGCACCCTTCGAACTTGCACATCCATCTCAGTAGGACACAAAATCACCACATAATAATCCTATCCAAAACAAAATGTGCCATGAGATAGAAACAGTAATTTTTTTTTTTTTCTTTTAATACTACAAGGTAAAGGAGCTCTGGTAGTGTAGTGCCTAAGGCACTTGACTGCTAACCAGAAAGCTCAGGGTTCAAACCCACCAGCCACTCCTCGGAAGGAAGGTTGGGCAATCTACTTCCGTAGTGATACTCCCTCAGAAACCCAAGGAGGGGTCGCTGTGAGTCGGGGGCGACTCGATGGCACATAACAACAACAACAAGGTAAATAAAATATCTAAGAAAATTTTGAAATGTGATAAAATTGAAATAAATTTGTGCTAATACATAAAAGTTCACATATAAAATCTAGACATATGTTAAACAGCATTACTCTATAATAAAATATCTGATATTTTATTTAAAGAAAATTCACAAATCAACAACTTTAGCTGGATTACCATAAAGAGAAGGTAATCTACAGTATTATTATGCATACATGAAATTCTTAGTTATAACTATAGCCTGATTCTAAAATATACATGAAATATCAGGCAAAAGTGCTTAAATATTATTTTTAGAATCAAAATTTCGATGACATAATTGGGTAATATTACTGTGAACTGATAGTTTGGAATTTCTAGTGAATATCTATATTAGTAAGGATTTATAAAAATATTGTGAATATTGACAATGGATATTAAATACAAAAATTTGAGAACAAAATACCCTAAAATACATGGTCTTCTGAGGAAAAAAGTGAAGGTGATCAGTGACAAAATTGTTCAAAACAACTTCTCTACAGGAATTAAAATTGTCTGGCAAACATTTACCATGTTATCATTCTAATATATATGTTTGTGAGAGGTTTTAAAGTGGAAGGTTGGGCAATCCTACTTCCGTAGTGATACTGCCTCGGAAACCCAAGGAGGGGTCGCTATGAGTCGGGGCCGACTCGACGGCAAATAACAACAACAACAACATATTGATACTAGACAAAGGAAATTTCTTTGATCTTTTCTGTGATCAAATTTTCTCTCAAACAGATTTTCTTTTTGTCTAATGTACAAACTGGAAATTTCTCACTATGAATATGCAAAAAAAATAAAATAAAATAATAGCCCACAATAAAAAAGCACATGGATTTGCTCAGAGAAAATGAACACATTTAAATGACAACAAAATAATACACTATGTAACGTAAACCTCAAGAATTATTCTCAAGATATAAATATTATTTTAAAAGGTGTCAGAAATATTCATGAAGCAATCTTTTTACTTTTACTAAGAGAGAGATTATTAAATGCACTTAGCATTATCTTGATTTCTGGGGATTTTCCAACATCTTGACACAAATTCACTGAAGAAATGCAAGACGTTCAAATAGCTTTTTGATGTTTGCACCAGACTAAGAGTATTAAGCAAGAAAGGAGTTTGTCTAAATTTACATTGGCCCAACACCTTGGCAAGTGGAGGAATCATCTGAGGATTTTATTTGCATAGGCAGATGAAGAAATTTTTCTAAATTCATGTTCTCAAGTCAGCTAGCTATTGTCCAAATTTTGGTCATTTATTGCCACTATAAATAGACCTAGTTAGAGTCCAGGAAACCAAAAAAAAAAAAGGGAACTTCCAATTTTCCATTAGTAATACTTGATATTAAGTAGATGATTTTGAAATGGCTATTTCACTGTTTTATTATGCATGTATTTTATGTTAAAGTTCACTGTTTCAAAAAAATACAATTTTACCCCCCAAAACAGCAATCAGCAATCCTGTTTATTCAAAGATAGCCCTTCCTTTGTAGCACTATCTTAATTCCATCTGTCTTCACAGCACAGATACATTTAGAAAGTTAAAATTCTAAGTATTCCTCCAGCATTTTTCTATGTTCTTGGTTATATCTGTAGATCTGCATTTACTCCTTCTAAATGTGTTTGTATAAATACCAATCCTCCAGAAGACAGGCAGCACCATCACTTAATTGAGTTTGACAATATGTCACTAAGTATAATCCAGTATAGCGCATAATATAATTAAAATATACCTGTAGTCTTGGATGAGCATAGAATTCATTTAAAAAATCCATAAGCAAATCAATCTTCAGTGAGCTGACACACAAAACAACATGTTTTTCAGTTTGAGCTCTGTGTCGACTATAGTTCCCACCAGACTTTTGTCTCTCCATCCACAAATATGCCAGTTGTTCAAACTGTAATATATTTTTTCACATATGAATGAAAAACACCAGACATGAAAAAAAAATAATAAATCAGTGTAAAAGATCTATTGTTTATTAAATATATTCAATTTCTTAGATGGAATTCAATGAGATCAGAATCCTCAGTGTTCCTTCAACAACAGACCTTTAATATGATTGCTAAAGAGCCTGCAAATGCCTCCTAGGGGCTTAAGGTCTCTAAGGAAACATATTAACACGATTTCCCCATTATATTAAAACAGATCACTAAGAGGTTTGTGCCTCTGTTTTCTCTCCAGTAGAGTGTGTAGCCATGTAATGTCATCTGTTGAATGAAAAAGTAAAGCCTTATGTGTATTTTTTCCCAATTCTTGTGTTAATTTCAGTCCACGTTAATCAAATGGGAGATACATTTACCTTAACACATAATCTAGCTATAAGAAGCTGGTATCAAAGGGAAGTTGAGTTTGCAAGGAAGGGATGTTAAGAGGAAATAAATATATGAATGGTGATGAATGGGAAGGTAATTTCTTTACCTATGTAAGATATATTTAGATACATTGGGGTCAAAGGTTATGTAATGGAACAGGAAGGTTTGATTTGCATTTGCTGTATCCAGAGCCTTTGACCATGAGCAGGGCACACTATAAGAAACGATTGGAAATTGCATCTATAAATTTTCCATCCCATTTTACATCTCTTTTGCAATCTTTGCAACCTCCCTATACATTCCTCAAAATAATATATAATATTTATATATCATCTTCATTTTTTGTTTGACCAATATATGCAATGACTATTTTCTCATCATTATTTGTGGCTTTTATTTTTATTTTATTTTATTCAGAATGAAGAAAAATCATTTCTTCTCAAGTTGGTTTCCTTGATTTATTATTCTGTTAAAAGCTATATTATTCTATAATTATTATAATTCTATAATTAATATTCTATAATTAGACATCAATAGTTAAACAGCATAACTAAATACCATATAGTTAATACCATTTTAAAGAACTGAAAATTGATGTGAACTATCAGTGGTAACCAGGGGGAAAACAACCCTCAATGATTCTTATATAATACACAAAGTTATTTCTGAGATAATTTTAAATAATTGAAAACATGTAATAATAACATGTATTAATATATTACTGTAAGATAAATAAACCAGCTTGTACTTCTTCAGAAATGTGAAAGGTTTTATTTCATACATTTTGCACATCTTTATAAAATTTAACATGGCTATGTTTACCTGTATGGGTAGAACCACAAGAGCAACACAGATCATAGCAACGACAAAGAGCTTGGAGGACCATGTTTCAGGAGTAACATCCCCAAATCCCACAGTAGAAAATGTCACGATGCAGAAATAAAGGGAATCAAAGAGATTCAACTTCTTTCCTATTCGTTCAAGATGCTGGATTCCACAAATGCTAGAGAAACAAATATGCAATATAATTAAAGCTTTCATACTAGACACATTCTTTTTTTATCATTATTCTTTCAAAAATCAAAACATAGTTTATAAAGCCATTCAAAGTTTGGCTCTTTATATTTTACAGTGTATTTTTTCCTCAGCTAATTGTCTGGAGCTCTGGTAGCATAGTGCCTAAGGCACTTGACTGCTAACAGTAGGCTGGTGGTTCAAACCCACCAACCAGTTCTCAGAAGGAAGGGTTGGGCAATCTACTTCCTTAGTGATACTGCCTCCACAACCCAAGGAGGACTTGCTATGAGTCGGGTCTGACTTGACGGCACATAACAACAATTGTAATTGTCATCTTATTTTTATTCCTATATTAACGACATACAATCATATTTTGATTAATAGTTAGCCAATGATGGTTTACAAAATATCACAAAGTATATTTTAAGAACATGTAAAATTAATACATGGAATATTACCAGTGACTAACATACACTTTGAATACACTTGCAACAAACATAAAGGCCAGAAATTCCTAAATCTCTTCCCTGTAAAAATATGATGGTTTGTTTTTATTTAGGAAGCAGAGAGAAATTTTACTATTGGGAATTTGTATATAAGTATGAAAGATATGAGAAGTTAACAATTGTCAAGCAATGCTCATAGAGAAACTTTATAAAGACCAATCTATACAAAGCTGCTAATACTATGAAAATAGGGAGACAATATAAAATCTGTTACAATTGTTAAAATGGCACTAAAAATAGCAAAGCTATTAAACTTTCAAGAAGTGATATGGCCGAAGATAAATACATCATGTGATGTTTCAGAGATATACATAAATTACAACATGAAATTCATGCATAATGGAATACTGCTCAGCAATAAAAAAATGAACCAAGTACTGATGCATGCTACATAAAACTACTGAGCGAAAGAAGCCTAACGCAAACACCCACACAATGAAGACTTCTGTTTATATGAAATATCCAGAAAAGAGATAGAAAGTACATTAGTGTCTGCCTAGGGCTGAAGGTGGGAATGAGGTGATGGAAGTATTCTGAAATTGGATTGTGTTGATGGTTGCATAAATCTGTAAATACATTAAATATAATTAAATTCTATACTTAAGTAAGGTCTATGGTATTTAAATTATACTTCTATTAAGCAGTTGAAAAAAATCAGTGTATACATTTGGACACACTCTGACTTCTGTACATCAGCAGATTTAGCTCAGTTACCACCATGAGGAAGTAATATTCTCTGTTCAATTGCAGAGATCTCTTTTTTCATCCTTTAAAATAATCGCCCCTGACTATCTGTCCAAATTACGTATCATACCTATTCATTTGTCTTTTAAAATAAGGCACAATATAAGTTGATAAACACCAGCTTAATTATAGAAATTGGTAGATAAGGAAGTAGATGGACTGAGGGAAAGAGGAAAGAGAGTAGAGTAAGTGCGGTCATCATTTTTATTTCTGGGGCAAAAGCTTTTTTTTTTTTTTAATGTTGTTTTAACTTCCAGGCCACCAGAATGGTCTTGGCTAATATTATGCTTTTCTATGCTTAGGAATTTCAGGTGATCTGCCAGGTCGTAAACACAACAAAACCAGTAAGTGAATTCATACCAGATTATTGGTTCAGCTGCCTCTATGAAAGACTGCCAAGCTAATTATGAGGTTATTCAGATGGAGCCACGATACAACCAAAGAGAAAGGGTTTTTGATAGTGATAGACATTTCCGTGGTGTATGATTTGTTTCTTTTTTATTATTAGTATTATTGAAATTAATAAATATTTAAGAAAGTGAACAGTTTATGAATAATTTTTTACTTCACTAAAAATGGAGAAGAAAGGAAGATAATTAGGTTACAGTGTTTAAGGATTTAAAGTGATTCAAAGGTTTATTACATATTACATGTCTATAAACTAAAAATCAAATTTTTTTATTAAAAAAATGTACATTTTATCTATGATCAGAGTTTGGCTTTTAGTTTACAGACATGCAAGACATAAGAAAGCCTCAAACTATACAGCCATGAATTTCAAATCACCAAATTCCGAAAAAACATACTCACTGCCATCGAGTCAATTCTGACTTGGACACTCTCTGGATTTCCGAGGTGGTGAATCATTACAGAAGTAACTGAAGGAAGACTAGGCAATTCACTTCTGTAATGTTTCTAGAAGGGTATTTATATGTTCTGTAAGAATTCCCAGGTATACAGTAGAGCTGACAAGGGACAAGGTTGTAGTCACTTCTTGGTCACAGCCAGCTACCCAGAGAGAGCAAGTAGTTAGACCTGTGGGCTTGGGACCACAGTTGCAGGGGACATTAAGCTCAAGCTCAATTGGCATAACATACTACACAAAACATTGTTCCACATCCTACTTTGGCTAGTAGCGACTGGGATCTTAAAAATTTGCAAGTGGCATGTAGATGCAATAGTAGGTCTCTCTTTGTCCAGAGCAAAGAAAAATTAAGAAAACCAAAGACACATGGAAACAATTAGTCCAAGTGACTGGTACACCATACAATTCTCAGCCTATATGACTACGAGATGAGAAAACTAGATGGTACCCGGCTACCCCTGTCAACCATTCACAGGGGGATCTATGTAGGAAATCCTGAATAGAGTGGGAGAACAATGTGGAAGAAAACTCAAAATCACTTAAAAGAAAAAACAAAAGGAAAAGGACCAGGTTTGCTGGTCTGATACAGCCTGATGGAAACACTGAGATGACCGCTAGCTGCCCTTCAGGTCTGGAATTGAACACACTCCTATGGCTTCCAGCCAAACAAAAACAGGCACATGAGCTGATTATTTACATTAGGTAGATACACTCTTTGCAGAGATCAATCATGGGAGAACAGAAGGGTTGTATATGCACAGGGAGACAGCTCAAGGGGCAGGAGTGTATGGGAGGTAAAGACTCAGGGAAGAGGTAACTATGGGAAGGAAGTGAGAGGGGAGCTGTTGCGTTCAATGTCATTGCAGTCAATGTCATGAGACAAAGTGTATGTGAGCTGCTGTATGGAAAGCAAATTTGATCTGTAAACTTTCACCAAAATCCCAATAAGCATTAAAAAAATAATAATAAAGAGCTATCATACCATATAAATTTTAAATAAATTTCACTGAAAAAAAAAAACCTAAGTCAAAAGTTTTTTAATTTCCATGATACAGCTTCATTTAAATTCATACCTATAATTATTTTTAAAAACAGTTTAATTGAATTTGGAAAATTCATGCAAGTCTTTCACATATTTATTAATATGATACTTAAGCTTAAAAGTATACCTTAACATTTGCTACCTTAATATATAAAATGAAGACTTGCACATCAGCTGCTTGATATTATAGCACAAAAACAAAAATATCAACTTAAAAAAATGGTTTAAGTAGAATACACTGAATTACTTTTAGAATTATTCTCTGATTTTAAATATACTCACCAGCTGGTTTCTCTTAGGGTCTCATTAAATGAACCATTCCTTATGCTTACAGATAACTATGGAATTACGTTTAAGAAATGTTCAGGTGAATATATTATCTTCTAATGCAATAAATACTTTTGTAATAAAGGAATACATTTAGTACCATCCCCCAGCAGAAAATAAGGTAGAGAATACTTAAATAGCTTATAAACAGAGTAATCCTTTAAAAATTATTAGTCAGATCTTATTCCTTCCCTATTCAAAATGCTTAATCATCTTTAACATGAATAAAATCCAGAAACTTCTTTTTTTCTCTGATCTTATTTTTTAAGACTATCTTCTAATCCACTGTCCTCCAGCCACATAGATCTTTGTGTTATTCCTTAACCATGTGAAGGATACACTCAACTCAAAGCCTTTGCACTTGTGATTATTCTCTCTACTTGTCAAACTCTTCCACCAAGTATCCACAGCTCTTGCATATGTGTCACATCATCAGAAAGGCTTCTTCCAACTCCGTAATCAAAAGTACAACCATTTGTCACTCTATCTCTTTGCATTGTTTAACTTTTATTCATGACATTTACCTTTAGCTTTCATTATATACAGCTTTCCATCTCCTTTTCTAGAATAGAAACTGCGTATTTAACATGCCTTAGTTCATTCCATTCCTGTATGTCTATGTCTAGAATAGCATTTGGCACATACTGTTGTTGCTGTTATGTGCCGTTGAGTCAGACCCGACTCATAGCGACCCCTCCTTGGGTTTCTGAGGCAGTATCACTATGGAAGTAGATTGCCCCATCTTCCTTCTGAGGAGTGGCTGGTGGGTTTGATCCGCCAGCCTTCTGGATAGCAGTCAAGTGCCTTAGGCACTATGTTACCAGAGTTCCCTTGCTAAGCACTCAATAAACACTTGTTAAATGAGTAAATGGAAGTATAATCTGGAAAGGATTTTTCAGAGATTTTCGTAAGATTTAATAAGGAGCTCTGGTGGCATGGTGGATAAGGCGTTTGGCTGCTAACCAGAAGGTCAGCAGTTCCAACCCACCAGCTGCTCCATGGGAGGAAGATGAGACATTCTACTTCACAAAAATATATAGCCTTGGAAACCCAATGGGGTCGCTATGAGTCAGAATCGACTTGATTGATGGCAGTAGGTTTGAGTCTTAGATAAGACTGAATAATAGTGATTAATATATTTGTATAGATATATACATAGATTACAATATTTGTACATGGAATACTTGGGAAATCGTCAAAAAATGAAAGTTTTTTGTCTAGAATAAAGTATAATACATCAGAAGACCACTTTATATAGTGTAATCAATATGCAATAAATAGAACATGTGGAATAGAAATCCATTTTATTTTGTTTTGTTTCATGGCATGGGTAAAAAAAATAATTCAGGTATGGCATCAGTTATGAAGATTTAAAGAACAAAAAACAAGCTTAGTGATAAGTGCATAAAAGATAGGAACTCAGTCAAGATATAGTCGCTAGTCTTTTATTGGAATAGTGCCATGGCTTCCATGTTGTTAGGTGCCATCGAGTTGGCTCCAAT